GGGGGGGGACCTAAGGGGGGGGACTTTAAAAAACCTGAAGGGGACTGATGGTTGGCTGGACTAATCACCAACCTCCCAAATACCTCTTTAGGTTCAGTGTCCTCCAGCTTTCTCCCCCCCCCCCAGCTTAAGGCCCGAAGCTTAAGGTCGTCAATCTTCTTAGGTCGTTGAGGTAAGTACCGGGTTTTTGCAAAATATTTTTGGGATGAGTGACTACGACCGGGCGATAACAGTGTTCTCTCCGGATGGGCATTTGTTACAGGTGCAATATGCGGCGGAGGCGGTGAGTCGAGGGTTGTGTGCTGTCGCTGTGAAGAGTAAGGATGGTGTGTGTGTTGCGGTGGAGCGACGAGTGTTGGCGAAGTTGCAAGACTCACGATCGGCTCGGAAGATTGAAATAATTGACGATGGTTTGGCATTGGCATTTTCTGGTTTGAGTGCGGATGGTCGTGCCTTAGTAAATCGTGCACGTGTAGAGTGTCAGTCATATCGACTTCGTGCGGCAGAGGCTCCAGGTTGTGATTATGTCGCACGTTGGATCGCGCAATTGCAACAAAGATTTACAATGCGCGGTGGTATGCGTCCGTTTGGTGTCGCATGTCTTATTGCGGGCTATGATGCTGCCGGTTCTCCTGCACTTTTCAAGACTGAACCTCACGGTATAGTTGTAGGACTCAAAGCATATGCCATTGGACGTAGCGAAAAAACTATTCAGGAATACTTCGAGAAAGAATACAAGGAAAACATGACCCAAGACGAAGCCATTAAACTTGCCATAGCAGGCCTCAGCCAAGTTGTTGATGCTGGATCCAACACCGTCGAAGCTGTACTGGTCAAACGCGATGAAAATAATCAAGCTGTTGTCGTCCCTCTATCAGACCAAGAAATCACCCAACACATCTCCAAACCTGCTGCCCAAAACGACGCACAAAATGACGCCGCCATGAGGGAAGATTAACCATATACGGAACACACCAACGATCGGGGAGTACAGTCGGGGGGGG